GTTCCTTTCTTCCTTCATCCTTCCTTCCTTTTCTACCTTAATTTTCTCCCTTTTTTCTTTCTTTTTTCTTTTCCTTCCTCTCTTTTTTCCTTCTTTTCTCCCTTCTTTTCTTTCTTTCTTTCCTTCCTTCCTTCCTTCCTTCCTTCCTTCCTTCCTTCCTTTTCTCCCTCTTTCCTTCTATCTTTGTTCCTTCCTTCCTAACTTCGCCCTTTCTTCCTTTTTTCCTTCCTTCCTTTCTTTTCTACCTTCTTTTTCTCCCTCCCTTTTTTCTTTTTCTTTCTTTCTTTCCCTTCCTTCCTTCCTTCCTTCCTTCCTTCCTTCCTTCCTTCCTTCCTTCCTTCCTTCCTTCTGTCCTTTATTTCTTTCTCTGTGTGGTTCACTTTTGGCTCTTTGAGTTGTGTGCAGAAGGGGTCAAAAAAGTCAAAATGGCGCTAGTGTTTCCCTTCCCACCAGGCGCGCCACCAAACAGGTGCGAGAGCATTGATCGTAAAGTGGTGGCCCCCATCTTGACTATTTTTGACCACTAACCCTGCAGGACGTGGTTAAGAGAAGGTTCCAGGTCTGCTTTGAGCGCAAGGATGCCTTTCCCCCGGGGATCAAAGTGAGAGATGCAACTTTCTAATCCTCTTCTGTTGGGGAGGGGGCACTTTTAAGAATTGGCATTGATTGGCCTCTATTTTGGGGGTGTCCCCCCCACCCGGGAGGGGCAGAGAACGAAAATGGGAGAGGGGGAGGACCTGGGATATTCTGTGCCCGGCCTCTCGCCCAGCAAAGGGGCCTCTGAGGTCGTGCAAACGGCTCTCTCTTGCCCCCTCCCCATGTCACCCGCCCCCCACATTAGCCTCCCCAGGGAGGACCCGGGAAGCCACGATTTGCATTTTGCAAGCAGGTAAGTCCGGGGTGGGGGGCGAGGGGGAAGGAAGTGGTGGGGGAGAGGGCGAGAAAAACACACATCCCATCGGTCCTTTCAACCTGGGTAGGGATTCGGGGGTCCTAAGACGCCCCCGCTCCCTTCTGAGCATCCTCAAAGGCAAAATCTATGCTCCCCCCCCTCAACAAAATGGACCATCTCTCCTCCCCTCCCCCAGCCCAACAAGTGCAGCATCCGATGCCCAACACCTGTGCCTTACCGGGGTATTTGGGAGCTGGGGGGCGACACCCCCCTGACGCCCCCCTCTGCAACGACGTCGGGTTCGTAAGGAAGCGGCTGGCGACAACGTTGCAGGAGCCCGAGGAGGCGGGGCCTGGTCTAGAAGCCACGCCCCCCTCCGTCTCGTTCATCGTGGTCCAAGAATCCCTTCCTTACGGTGGGGGAGGGAGGGGGGGGGAAGAGGCGGTGAGATCGGCGCAGCCGCACTGAGGACGTGCCAAGAGATGGTGGGGGCGTCGCGGGGGACGGGAAATTAGGGGAAATGCAAACGGTGGCGACGTGGTGGTGGTGGTTGTTATGTCCCTGGACCTTGAAGAAGTTCCCACCCAGGTCCGTTCACGCTGCAGGGGCAGCTGCCCCTTCTCATTGGCTGGGTTTCCCCAGCAGCCTGCTATAAAAGCAGGCTGCTGGGTCCAGCCCTTTCGCTGTTCGCTGCGAGCCAGTTCCAGGCTGAGCAAGCACGTTCAGTCCTTGTAAATAAACCTTGTTGCACTAAGCCCTGGTTCAGCCTCTTATTTCCCATACTTAATACTGGCGACGAAGGTGGGATGGCTACCAGAGGCAAGCTGCAACGCTGAATCACTAAAACGCTGATCCGCAGCCCAGAGAGAGAGCGATCAGCCAAAATAAGGGCAAACGCTGACCGCAACCCAGAGAGAAAGCGATCAGCAAACAAGCTAGTGAAAGTGAGAAGCGCCTGTAGCCGCTTGTTAGCATAAGCTACAGAGGAAGTGTAGCGCTGCGAGCCGCAGCCGCTAGTGCCGTTTAGGCGCGAAATTCAAACAGCTGTCAGCTGAAGCACATTCAAATACAACACAGCGTTGTATTACGAAATCGCTAACGCCCACACAGGCGCGAATTTCAAAAGACGCTGCCAACGACCGTTGCAGTCTAAACACCTTCTGATCCCCAGAGAGAGAGAAGGGAATTGCGAAATTTCCCCAGAGCTGAAGTCACTTGCCTAGCACAGGCACTAAACCTCTACTGCTACCCAGAGAGAGAGCATTTTCCCCAACAGGTTAACCAGTAGACCCACAACATGAACTCCAATCCAGCCTTCCCAGCGTTCAAGCCGGATGAGGAGAAGTGGGAATCATACAAGAATCGGTTTAATCATTACATCGACGCCATTGGATTGGCTGATGCAGGGGAACACCGAAAGAAAGCATATTTCCTGACCTACTGTGGAGCCATCGTCTTCGATACAGCCACAGCTCTTGTGGCTCCACGTGAGTTAAAGAATGTCCCCTGGACAGAACTGTTAGAAATCCTTACTAACCACTATTCTCCTAGACCTTCACAGATTGCCAGACGCTTCACCTTCAGAATGAGGAAGCAGGGGGACAAAGAGAGCATCAATCAGTACATGGCTGCTCTCAGGACTGCAGCACTCCATTGTGGGTTTGGCAGCTATCTTGATGACATGCTCCTAGACCAGCTGGTCTGCGGGGTCAAGGACCTGCACCTACAAAGACGGCTGCTCGCCAAAAAAGACCTTAACCTCGCTCAAGCCATCGAGGTAGCCCTGGCAGAGGAGCTGGCATCTCATTCAGCCACCGAGATCCAAGGTCCTGTCACCAAGCAAACAGCAGTTCCCGTCCACTCAGAAGAGGTGGTCAACGAGGAAGACCCAAGTGACGAGGCCGACATTCACCGCCTCACAAACGCCAGGCGCCCGCAGGCAGGAACCAGACAAGATAACACCGGGCCATCCAAGCACATCACCCTGTGCCTTTTCCTGTGGTGGACCTCACCTGAGGACCACATGCAAATTCAAAGGAGCCACTTGCAACAACTGCCATAAGAAGGGGCACATTGCAAGAGTATGCCAAGCCTCACACAACGTAGCACAAAGGGCATCTTCATTCGCACATGCCGGGCCCCAAAGGCAAGTATTAAACTGTCGCACACACCTCTGCGCTAATCACACTTGCTATTCTATTAGTAAAATCTCTCTTTCCGTCTTATTAGAAGGTAAACCTTGCAACATGGAGGTTGACACGGGGTCAGCGCTCTCCATTATTTCCTGGAACACCCTCAAGGAGCTTCAACCCAGCCTATCAAGAAACCAACTCCAGAAGTGCCAGCTTAGCCTAAAGGACTACCAGGGGAAGACCATTCCTGTAATCGGCAGAGGCAAGTTTTTTGTTAATTTTAAAACCTTTAAGGGCCACCTACCTCTAGTGGTAGTGAGCGGCAACCTCCCTACACTTTTGGGACTTGATTGGTTTCCCCACCTCGGTTTAGGGCTAACAGGAGTCCATGCTACCTCAACCTCTGACACGGACTCCCTGTTTGCTGATTACTCAGACGTATTCAGTGATGAGTTAGGGTGTTATAACGGCACCCCTATCTCATTTTCAGTCGATCCCCAGGCAGTCCCAATTCGGTTAAAACCTCGCAGAGTTCCATTCGCCATTCGGCCTAAATTAGACCTTGAATTAGATAAATTACTAAAACAAGGGATCCTGGAGCCTACAAACTTCGCCAAATGGGAGACGCCCATCGTCACACCCCTCAAAAAAGATGGTAGCCTGAGAATTTGCTCAGACTACAAGACCACAATCAATAAATTCTTGCAAGTTAGCGCTTATCCAGTACCCGTCATTCAGCATTTATTACATACTTTTGAACCTGGCACTATCTTTGCCAAATTGGACATGTCTCAAGCATATCAACAGTTCCCTGTTGATGACCAAACGGCAGAACTTCAGACCATTGTCACCCACAGGGGTGCCTTCCGGTGCAAGCGTCTCCAGTTTGGCGTAAGTGTTGCCCCAGGCATTTTTCAATCCCTCATGGAGCGGATTTTACAGGGCCTTCCTGGAGTAGTACCCTACTTCGATGACATCTTAGTCTCGGCCAGGAACAGACCCCAACTCTTCCAGAGAGTTCGAGCAGTCCTAGAGAGGTTCAGGCAGCATGGCCTCAAGTTAAAAAAAGAAAAATGTGCCATTGCCACTAGACAGGTGGACTTTCTGGGTTATAAAATTGACGCCTCAGGCATTCACCCCCTGGAGTCCAAGGTTAAGGCAATACACGAGGCACCCACTCCAACCTCCAAAGCGGAACTGCAGGCCTTTTTGGGGCTCTTGAACTTTTACGCGTCGTTCCTGCCCCATAAAGCCTCTGTGGCAGAACCCCTCCACAGACTTCTGGATAAAAAAACGGTTTGGCATTGGGGACACAAAGAAGACTCCGCTTTCCGCACAGTCAAGTCGCTACTCACATCAGAGGCAGTGCTTATCCAGTTTGACCCCAACCTTCCATTAGTACTGGCAGCAGACGCATCTCCCTTCGGAATTGGGGCAGTCTTAAGCCACAGGCTCCCCAACGGCTCCGAGGCCCCTATCGCTTTTTTTTCCAGGACGCTCTCTGCAACAGAGCGCAATTACAGTCAGATCGATAAAGAAGCCTTGGCAGCTGTTGCAGCGGTGAAGAAATTTCACGAATTTCTCTTTGGCCACTTTTTTGAGCTAGTCACGGACCACAAACCGCTCTTAGGGTTACTAGCAGGTGACAAGCAGACCCCTCAAATTCTGTCCCCCAGAATGACCAGATGGACCCTTTTCCTAGCAGCATACTTGTATAGACTCGTGCACCGCCCAGGTAAAACATTGTCCCACGCAGACGCCCTCAGCCGCTGCCCCCTGCCTGCCCCAGCTGAAGACCCTGCCCCGGTCAACGCCATTTTTGAAGTCACCCAACTGGACCTCCCAATCACTGCCCTTGATATTGCCAATAAATCCAAAGCGGACAAAACGATCGCCCAGGTACTGGACTGGGTGAGGAGGGGGTGGCCAGGCAGTGACATTGAAGCTAAATTCACTCCATTTAAGACCCGCTTACAGGAACTGTCGAGCTTACAGGGCTGCCTGCTGTGGGGCACTCGAGTGGTCATCCCGACATCTCTGCGTACCCGAGTGCTGGAGGCGTTGCACGAGGGCCACCCGGGCATCGTCAGAATGAAGGCGTTGGCGCGAAGCTACATTTGGTGGCCCGGCCTCGACGAGGACATCAACAAATGGGTAAGCTCCTGCCATCCCTGCCAGGTTTCCCGTCCATCCCCTCCAATTGCCACCCCCACCAAGTGGGAAAGTGCCAACGCACCCTGGTCCAGGATTCACATCGATCTTGCGGGCCCATTGCATGGCAAAATGTTCCTCGTGGTCGTAGACTCTTACTCAACGTGGATTGATGTGGCACAACTATCCACGACCACTTCACAAGCAGTCATCAAGGCATTGACTCGCCTGTTCGTTACGCACGGTCTACCAGACTCCATTGTTTCCGACAATGGTCCCCAATTCGCGTCAACCGAATTCAGTCGTTTTACGGCCAACCTGGGCATTCGTCACATCTTCACGGCCCCCTTTCATCCTGCCAGTAACGGGCTGGCAGAGAGAGCTGTTAGGACCACTAAAGAAGCCCTGGCCAGGTTCAACAAGGATGACTGGCACCACAAACTATCCTGTTTCCTGTTAAGCCAGCATTCAACCCCTTGCACGGTAACCAACAAGTCCCCGGCCGAGCTTCTGATGGGCAGACGCCTGCGAACTGTATTGGACAGGCTTCACCCACATTACTGCCCTGACTCTCCTCTCGCTTCCACATCGGGGAGTAGGCATTTTGTCTTGCAGGAACCCGTGTTCGCGAGAAACTTCGCTGGCGACCCATTGTGGATCCCGGGAGAAATCGTAGCCATCACAGGACCCAGATCATATCGGGTTAAGCTGGAAGATGGCCGGGTCTGGAGACGACATCTGGACCAGCTTCGGAGACGCCAGGGCACCCTCGTCAGCCGCGACTCGTGGGCACAGACCGGTGAGAGTCCGCTGCAACTACCACACAGCAACATCTACCCCGATGACCTGCTAACACCTTCAGCCGGACCAGAGAATCCAAATGCTGACTGCGGCGACCTAGCGTCCAACCCATCCGAGCCAGACGGCGTGAGGACACTCCCAGCGTCCAGCCCTTCTAGCCCCGGACCTGCTCCGACCGAGGGTGGTACTTGGGACTCATCATCAAGCCAACAGTCACCGACGGACTCTGATCCACCAAACAGCACACCAGAGTTGCGCCGCTCTGGACGTCAGCACAAACCTCCCGTATACCTCAAGGACTATGC